GTGCACCGTGAAGTGCGGCCAGTGGATTCGTCCCCGTCACGGGGCTGGGTTGCAGGTTGCTCCATTGTTGTTATTGTGGTTGTTTATGTTGTTGCTTTTGTTGTCGTTGCTGTTGATGTTGTTGTAGTTGTGCTGTGGTTGTTGTTGTTGGTGTTGTTGATGTTGTTGTTGATGTTGCTGTTATTGTTGTTGTTGTTGTTGCTGCTGTTGTTGTTGATGTTGTTGTTGTTGTTGTTGTTGTTGTTGTTGTTGTTGTTGTTGTTGTTGTCGTTGTCGTTGTCGTTGTCGTTGTCGTTGTCGTTGTTGATGTTGATGTTGATGTTGCTGATGTGTTTGTTGTTGTAGTTGTTGTTGTTGGTGGTGGTGCTGGTGCTGGTGCTGGTGCTGCTGGTGGTGGTGGTTGTTGCTGCTGCTGTTTCTGCTGTTGTTGCTGTTGCTGTTACTGATGCTGTTGCTGTTTGGGGGGTCGCTTCGTCGGTCCAACATTAATATGCTGCAGTAGTATAGTGATGAAGGTCCAACAGTAATATTTTGCAACCACATCACCACCACCAGCAGCAACAGTAGCAGCGACAGCATCAGCAAGTTTCGAGCAGGCGCGCGTGCACTAAACGGAAGGAGGAGGAGAGGAGGGAAGAGGACAGGAACGGGAGAAGGACGAGGATGAGGATTTTGTGGCACAGGGACAGTGCATGACCGTTCGCCCCCCCCTCACCTCAGTGCACACGTGTGCTGCTCCAGCGAGGGCCTGCGCTGCCGCGGCGGCGGCACCGTGTGGGTCGCGGAGTGGCGCGGGCTTCGCGCCGGCGGCGGCGCGCCCGCGGCCGCCGCGGCCTCGGTGGCCCTCGGCGGCCGCGGGCCGCCGGCGGGCTGCGCCGGGCACGCCGAGGCGCTGTCGGCGCTGCTGGCGGGCGCGCTGGCGGGGGGTCGGCTGCGGCTGGTGGCCGCTGGTTACCAGCCTCGAACTTATCCCTATCCCTAAGATTGACACGCCAAAAGGCGATAACAATCTTAGGGAATCCCTAAGATTGGCATCGTGATGAGGAGATGTGCAGCATAGGGATAGGGATATGTTCCAGGCTGGTAAGCTGGGGGGAAGGAGAGCATCAACGACACGCGGTCGTCGGCAGCTCGTCGGCGTGTGACTCCCCCGCCGCCGGGGTGGTCCTTTGCCGGGGTGACCTTTGCGGTGTGGGCCCTCCGGGGGTCCCACGATCGCCGAGCGCGACGCGACAGTGGCGTCTTGCGCGCTAGTGATTGGGCACCCCGCGGCCCCCCAGAAGCCGCGCACCAAAGGTCACTCTTAGGGTCACTCCTGCGTGTAGCCGATTATTTTGGTGCGAAGGCCTGGTATCTCCTCAGCAGCAGTGCGGTCAGGGTCTGCATCGTCCAGCCTCCACCCATAGGTCGCTGGTTCAAAGATGGGGTCTTGAGGAATGGGGTTCTGAGCATAGGAAGGGATCCAAGGCTGGATGTGCACGTTTTTTGAGCACCTCGTCCTTACAGACGACAGACCCCATCCCTCCGGACCCGATCTCTGACCACCGAAAAGTTAGGGCCACGGTATCCCAGCCCCTCCAGGACTCCCGTCGTCGGTGCGCTCTTTTGTTGCCCCCCCAGGTGGCCGGCAGGGGCGGGGGGGCGCTGCTGGGTCTGCAGGCACTGCGTCTGGCGCGGCTGGCGGGGCCTCCCGCGGGCGGACGCGCGCTGGATTTACCGGCGGTGGCGGCGGTGGCGGCGGAGGCCTCATCGTTGGAGCGACGCAGAAAAATGGGTTCGACTGCGCGGACATTCGCGCGTGAGCTGCCTGCGTGAGGTCGTGCGCGCGCATGCGCCCTATTTTCCAGTGCAGCGTGCCACGCTGGAGGCCCGCGTAAGCCGCGACGTAAGATCGCCATGTCCACTCACGTAACACCCATTTCTTTTCGTCGCTATCGTGATTTCTCTCTACCTTCTCTTCCTCGCCCGATCGCTCGACCGCTCGATGGCGAATGCAGGCCTTCGACACGACGCGACAGGTCATCAAGGCAAATCGTCTCAGCTGTGGCTTGTAGGCGACTGAGCAAGCGAAGCGAAGGCTCGTGTGTGGTCGACTCAGCGGAACTCCAAGGCTGGCTAGTTGGTTCGTTCCTCTACCTCCTCCTCGTCCTCGTCCTAATGACAGTCGGCAGCGCGCCCAGGCGGAAAGGCAGAACGTGCGAAGCATCAGGCCTTCCGAGGAGCGTTTTAAGCCTTCTCCGACACGACAGGGCTTCTCACAAGACCAGGGGGCTGCTGAGAACACCTCCGACGGAAAACGGGGGCAATGGGGAAAGGGGGGGGTACGAAAGCTGCTCCAGCCGGTTTCGGCCCCGCCGCCAGGGCGCTCTTTTTGATACCGGCGCCTCGGGTGCCGGGAGGCGCCGGAGAAATCAGCTACGCGAGCTGCTTCGTCACCCTCTCTTTTGTAATCCCCTCTTTCGTCTGGCCCGATCATGCTCGTTCTCCCGACATATCAACCTCGTCTGCAAGATGGGCCGAGCTGATTTATTTACCCGTTACGAAAGTTATGCATCCTGGGCACTGACGACTAGGGCGTTTCCGAGCGGGACATCCCTTCCCCCGTAGACTCCTAGCACGGCAGCCTTCGGCCTGGTTGGGCGGGAGAGTTTTCCAGGGTTCTCCTTGGTGTACAATTTAATGGTACATAACCAATTCAGAATAAGAGCTCTCCCCTATACATTCACAAGGAGGAAGCCACTTCTGGCCATTTCCACGCAAGTCTGGATATCTCCCCGTATGCAATCACAAATAAAAGTCATTCCCATTATACTTCTTACCACAGCGCCCAGACATCTCAAGTTTAGCTCATATTAACGAGCTTTCGTAACGAGGATGTAGCAGCACGATAAGCTTCACGTGCTTTCTGCTCGAAGGCCTCCTGCTCCCTCCTTGTCCTCCTGCTGCTCCCCTCGTTCGGGGGTTGCCAAAGATGTCCCTGGTCCAGGGTGCCCCCAGCTTGTCGCTCCACTTTTGAGCCCCTGGGGCCCTCTGGGCCTCGTGAGGGGTGCTCTGGAGGCCGTCGGGCCTCCCTGGAAATCCTGGGGGCACCTTGGGCCAGGAGCACTTCTAGCAACACCGGACTTGTGTCGTCCCCCTTCTGGTGGGTAATCCTCTGCCTCTGGGGCAGCCCGATTGTTGGAGGCCCGATGGGATTTTCCTGTCCTGTCTTATCTCCTCCTCTTCGCCCTGAGACGCGAGAGCATATTTTCATTACTTGTGACCTTGGTCTGGCTCCCACTTGGTCAGGGGCGCGTCAGTCAGCCAGTCCTCCCTGTTCTCTTTCTCTCTCTCTCTCTGTCTCTTCGTCTCTCTCTCTCTCTCTCTCTCTCTCCCTTTTCTCTTCTTTCTCTGTCCTTCACTTTACATTTGTATGTGTATATATATATATATATATACATATAACGGCGCACCGGGTCCGGGGGCCCGGGGCCAGGACCTCGACCACAAATGTGGGCCCCGGGGGGCCCGGAGGCTCGTCGGACCGCCGGACGCCGTCCAAGATCGTTCGCAGGCGGCTTCGGAACGCGCTCCGATGGCTCCAGATGCCTTCCAAGACGCCTGTCATGACACCAAGAAGGTCCCAGAAGCCTCCAAGACGCTCCGAGAGGCAGCCCAAGAGAGGCCCAAGAAGCAAAAATCGTGCCATTCCTATGGGAAAACGTATATTTTTCGCATGTTCGCATCTTGGGCTTTCACCGCGTCCAAGACTTGTGGAAGACCCTTCTGTGACAGAGAGGCATGTTAGGAATTAGGAAATAAATAGCACCACGATAGGATTAGAATAGGTTTGGGAAATAGGAAAAAAATAGGAAAACAATAGCCCAAACATTAAACAAAATAGGGCCATCGGCGTGGACAAGTCCAACAGTGACATCAATGAATTCGCGCGGGTCTCACGGGAGCGGCCGCCGCACGTATGTGCACAGACGCGATGCCGCGTGCCGTCTGGGGCCAACCAACTCCTCCTCCTGCTGCTCCTCCTCATTTTCTTGCTGTTGATCCTCCTCCTCCTCCTTCTCCCTCTCCTCCTCCTCCTTCCCTCCTCCTCCTCCTCCCCCTCCCCCTCCTCATCATCATTATTATCCTCTTCCTCCTGCCCCCCCTCTCCCTCCTCCTCCTCCTGCCCCTTCCCCCTCGCCCCCCGCTGTGGGCAAGACAAATTCCCAGCCCCCCCTCCTTGCGGACAAGAAGTACTCCACGGCATGATTAAAGGCCTTAGCACTATACCCCCTCAGCCAACCCATATTTTTCTTCTTCGGGACTTCTGCTCGACTGCACGAGCCGCGTGAGGGGTGTGCCGAAATAGGCGGCGTTGCCATGACGACGCTCACGTTGGGGCCTTCAGTAGAGACCCATATGCGGCCGCCAAATGCAGGAAGTGTGTGCCGAAATGATGAGGTGATGCCATTCGGACCCCCCAAGGGGCTGCGCTTCGCCGAGAGTAGGTCGCGTCCCAGTTAGCTGAGTTCGCCGATTTCTCTTGCGCCCGAACCCCGACCTTTTGGAATTGCCGCGGTTTCTGGACGGGGTCGGGGTTGCGCTTCGGCGAGAGCAGTTCCAGGGGCGCCTGGATCGTCCTGAGCGGCTTCTTGGGTTCCAGGTTCCAAGGGATCTTGTCGGAGCATCATCGTCACTTGCAACCGTTTCCATAGCCGTTTGTGCTTCAGTTTCCAATCAGATCTTTCGAGATGAAATAGCTGTCCATATGAAGCTTTTACATATTCTGTTCGGTGGTTGTGCCACCGCTCTCCATGTTCAGATCAATTTGCCGCTCGCGAAGTTCGACGGCAGAGAGTGCGGCTCGATGCCTGCAGATGACGAAGGTGCCTTCAACGGGTATGCTGCGATGATGGCGAATGCTATGATGGCTGCGAACTCTGCACCGTTCGATAATTTTTCTGGCTTGGTGGGCCCAATCGGTGATTACGACGGGTTTGCTTCGATGTATGCTGAGCCAGACGCCAGCCCAGATGACGATCCACCAGCTGCTGCTCCATCTAACGCCGGCCCAGATGTCGACGCAGCTGCGGCTCCTCCAGACGTCGGCCCAGATGCCGATCCAGCTGCTGCTCCTCCACACGTCGGCCAACCAGATGCCGATCCAGCTGCTGCTCCTCCACGCGTCGGCCAAGATGTCGATGCAGCTGCTGCTCCTCCAGACGTCGGCCAAGATGCCGATCCCAAGTTCGAGATAGTTGCGTGGGAAGCTGGTGCAGAGCCACATCGTTTGGAGGAGACCGAGCAGTTCTTATCGTTTCTCGGGCTGTCTTCGACATTGCCAGAGATGCCAGAACGCAAAGTCAGCCAGTCAGGGGTTCGCATTTTGACGAGCATGCTAACGGGACCGACAGCGTCAGATCGGTCTCGCGCCCAGGCGGCGAATGCACCAGACAAGAAGGTTCGGCCCCTCAGTGAACTTTATGCGAGCTGCGCCATCGTTGTCCAGCGGGTGCGCACGGAGAAGATCATCGGGAATTTGACTGATACCATCATCGCTGGCGGTGGCAGGGCAGTTTTATTCGTGGAGTGCACCCGTGGCGATGAGACGCCATTGCGAGCCAGGGCGAGGTCAGCTGCCAAAGTATTCAGCCACGAACGCCAGATCTGCGAGGCGAGCTTGGTGAGCATTGCCGACGTGCACGATGAAGATACGGTAAAACAGAAGATTGTTCAAACTGATTGGGAGGGTGCTGTTGCATATGCACTTGCTGGTGACGTCCAGCGCTATCTGGTTGTGAAGTTCAATTTGCTAACGTGGCTTCAATGTGTAGATCGTGGGACTGCTGAGTGTTACCAGTATTGTTTCTCTGCAGTGGGGCCTCGTTTCAGTTTCGCTAAGAAGTTCGATCGACACGTTCATGTGTCCACCACAGACAAGGATGCTGCCATCGCAAAGGCGTTCAACAGGCCTCCTGGTCCTGGTGATGGCTGCGCAGAGCTTCGGTTTGGTTGCCACGTGCACGTCGCCAGCAGCGTGATCGGCAAGGCATCCAATTGCATAAGGACGATATCAGCTCTCTCGTGCATCTCACGTTGAGCATGAACCAACCTGGGGCGATGCAGCATTTCAGAACATTGCTCCGCAAGATGGTTGCCAATGTGCAGGTATTCGTTGGTGTTCCACCGCAGCAGCACACAGAATATCGCCAGCAGGTTTTGGACATGCTGTCCGAGGGGTGCGAGGCGACCGACCGAGTCAGACGCTCGGTCATCGATGCACTGGCCAACGGCGACTGGACCAACCATCACGTCATCGAGCATTGGAGCCCAGTTCCTACGACTCGAGAAGCAGTTGTGCACCGATTCCAGAAGCAGTTTGTTTGGGCAGTTGCTTCTTCAGCTCCGCACATATATCCACGACATCGTTGGACTGGTGCAGAGATCACGCTGAGGTGGGTGTTGACGCTGCAGTCGTGCCATGGTCTCCTCGATGCTGTGTATGCAGAATGGTTCGGCAAGAAGAGGTGCCCTGCCGACCCAGTGCCGCCCGATCTTCCTGATGGAGGTCATGGCGACGAGGGCGGCCCACAATGTGGCCGCGGAGCTGGCGACGGCGGAGGGGACGACGAGCATGCTGGAGGCAACGAGCCGCCCGCGGACCTCATCCGACACGACCCGAACGTCGGCAACGCTTCAACGAATCCTACGGATGCGTTCCATCTGGAGAACACGAAGTGGCGCAGGAGTGCTTACGCCTGGCTGGGTCGCCAACACATGCTCCCAAACATGTTTATCTTCCGCCGAGTTCATGAGGGGCACCGTCGTTTACTTTCGGCTTACCTTCAGATGTCTGGGATCAAATGGGAACGGAAACAGCTCCGGGGTGCGATGACTAAGATCCAACAGGGCGATTATTTCTGGGACATGGACAACTTTCGCGTGACCGCCGCGCAGGGCGGCAGGCATTCCAGGTCCAAACCTTTCGCTGCGTGCCGCGTGCTCGAGCGCGGCCTCGGCGGGGCCCAGTGCGTCCGATTGAAGAGGTCCCGTGGGTTTGCATCGTTTCTCATGTTGGCGTCCGCCGTCTGGTGAATTTGACGTTGATTTTGACGCTTCGTGCGCTCCCGCCTGCAAACCCAACCCAACGCCCGAGAACTTCATTTTGACCTCGGCGCTTCGCGCGCCCTCGCCGTCAGCCCCACTCAACGCCCATCGCGCCCCTGAAGAGGGGGGGTGGCTGCGCAAGTGCATGGGGAGAAGGAGGAGGAGGAGGAGGAGGAGGAGGATGGGGGCGGGAGTGTTGGCGGTCCCTGGGGCATCTTGTAGCGTCTGTGGTTTTTGTTCGTGCGTCCCTTTGATGTTTGTTTGGCGGTATCTTGGATGATGGGTGCGCCTGGCAATGCTTGTCGAACGTTTCCTTGAGGCCCCCAAAGCGCCACTTCGGGCTCTTCTGGGGGAGGGGCGCCCTGCGGGTTATTGATCGCAGGAGCAATGGGGACCAATCGTTGTGCCCCCCAAACGCCGCGCATACCACATCTGGGGCAGCTCGGTGCGCTGTGGGTTTTCTTTGGCAACCTTTAGCAATGGAAACGCAAATGGGATTCTCTCTGCACTGTTGTGCCTGTGTCGGGGCTGGGCCATCTCGAGATTCCTCGGGGCTTCGGGGGCCCTCGGGCCTGATGCCGCGAGGAGGCCGAACGCAGCGGTTTAATGTGTGTAGGTCCTTAGAAGCCTGGATGCGCATGGTGCGTCGCTGGGTGGCATGTTGGCCAGTGTGGGGCCAACTTGAAGCCGTCGCAGGTTATCTTTGCGCGCCCGATGCCGTCTTGAGCCAGCGCCCGCCATCTTGAGCCATCTTGGGGTTAACTTTCTGTTCACCGATGCCATGTTGGAACCATGGTTGGCCATCGCGCGGCCTTCCGAGAAATCGCGCCCCCCTCCCCCGCCCATGCCCAGGGGTGGGCGGCGAGGTCAACTGTGGCGGTGACCCCTCTCCGACGTTGAAGCTGCGCTGCGCATCTCCCTTAAACCACTCGCGCCCTGACGGCTGGTAGCGTTAAGTATATTTATATATGGTTAAACGCATTGATGGCGCTTGCTCGAAACATGCCGCCGCGCACTGCGCGCGCGCGGCCACCGTGCCTTGCTCGGGACTGCCTGCGCGACCCCATCTGCCATTGCGTTACCCTTTCGCGCGGTGGGTTGTAGTTACAGCTTCGGGTTTGAATTTTAATGGCGTGGTTTACGGCGCGCATGTAACGCTGCTCCACTTTACTTGCGTCGCAGTTTTTTCTGCCTCGCTTGAACCTGATGTTGTGAACGCGCTCGCAGGCAGTTGGCCCATGTGTCGTCCCATCGATGGGTGTTGTCACATAGTCGGTTGCGCTGCGGCTGCGCTTGCGTGGTTCTGGTTCGCGCCGTTCCGAGTCTGCGGGGCGGTGCGGCAGCGCTGGTCACAGCCTGCATGTGCGTTCGCAGTTTATTTGGTGGTCGAGTCTTGCTTGTTCAACGCGCCGCTTGATGAACCATGCGTGCCCCGTGTTGCCTGGGATGGTCTCGCGGCGGCCGCGGTGGCGCACGGTCTCTCGATTGGCATGCGAGCAAGCGCGCGAAGCCGAACTCGCGTGGTCCGCGTTGTTTCTCCCAGCGGCAGCGCGTCGGCCACGGTCGCGTTGAATTCGGTCCTTCCGAGCGCATGTCTAGCGCAAGCTTGCGATGAGCGAAGCGATTGCGTAGCTCGCATGGCTGCTCCCATGGTAGTGCGTTTGGGCAGCGGTGCTGCAAGAACGGGTTCTCGCAGCCAGACGCGTTTCGCGCTCGCCCGTTCGGCGGCGACCATTGCGTGTCCATTGCGTTACTCGCGTCGTTGCGCGCTCGCCGATGCACTGTCGTTGGGCGGCCGCGCGCGTGTCGCGCATCGGCGCGCCGCCGATTTGGCGGTTGCGGCCTTGGCGCGGCGGCTCGACGCCCATTGCGGCATGCGGTTCCGCGAGCCGCGGCCTGCCAGAGAGCGCGGTGGGGTCGCGACGCGAAGGGCAACGTGTTATTCCGGTTGCGCGCTTGCGTCTTTGCGCTAGCGGGCTGAATGCTGGATCGGCGAGGTCCAACGATTAAGTTCCGCGGGTCGGGCATGGGTGGCGCCGTCGGCGGGGCCCGCGCCCGGCGGCCGATGTCGACCGCGCAACGCCATAGGGCATTGTTTTGGAAGGCGCAAATCCTGGGCTCATGTGCGCCAAGCCATCTGCGATGTCCCAGTGCGCAGGGCGCGCGCTGCGTGGGCGTCGGGCTGCGACCGTCGGGCAATCGCAATGGTTACAAGGTGTTGAGCGCTTGCCAGTAGCGGCGGCCAGAACCTGCGAAGCCATCGCGCGGCCCGTCGCGCGCCATGCAATCGCGTCAACGCACGACGCGCCAATGCGCCCGCGTTGGCGACTGTTGCCCCAACGGCAAACGTGGATTATGCCCTGGCGGCGGCTTGAACTAGACACCAGGACTTCGTCGCTGTAAAATTGGCTTTACGCGCGGCGGGGAAAAGGGGGGCGGGGGGTGGGCGGGTGCATCGCTGCGGCGCGCGCCAACCAATCGCGCCAAATGCGCGACGCGCGCGCGTCGTTGGATCCGATTAGTGGTCGGTGCGGAAGTCGTGTTCACAGCCCCAGCGCGAGTGGACATCAACAGCGGTTGCTGGCGCCGTCTCGAGCGTCGCGGGTGCCTGCCGCTCGGGGGCCCGCGGGCGCCGCGCCGCGCGAGGAAGTCTATGCGCGCGCGTGGACCCGCTGTCGTCGCGCAGGAATCATCGCTTTGATTTGCGCGCCACAGCGTTCGCGCGGTTTGGTCCGATTGCATTTCGGAGCTCGCGCGGGCCACCGCTTGTCAATTGATCGGCTGGCTGCTCGGGTTTCGTTTGGCCCCGCAGCTGCCCGACCTCCCTGTAACTTTGAGTTCAGGCGTCTATGCGGCGGCCAAGTTGCGAATGAGCATGGCATTCCCAGGCGATTGCTCTTTGATGTTAGCGACGCAACATCGCGCGGCAACTCGGTTTTGATTGCGCGGCGCGAGCGCGTGTCATCGACGCGCGGTCAGCGCGGCGGCGGCGTGGCCACGTTGGCATGGATGCCGAAGTGGGGCCCTGCAAGGGAGGGATGCATGCCTGCGCCAGCGGATGCGCGCCGCGCGTTCACAGCTTGGGTCGATGCGCCGCGCGCGCTTGCGCGAGCACGTTGCTGGGCTTGCTGCGTTTACGCCCGAGAGCAACAACGCAACCCCCAACCGCAGTTAAATGCGCGCTTGGCTCTGCGTGGTGGTCGGTCGGAGGTCAAACTTCGCGTTGGCGCATCGGGCGGGCGTCGCCTGGGCGCGCGCAAGGGGCGTCGGCGCGCGCGCGGGGCGGGCTTGCCGAGGCTCGTAATAATTGATGCCGCCGCCATTGATTCGGTGGCCACGTGATATCAGAGCCGCGTTTGATTATGGGCTCCGCGCAGTCCGCATACCCCTGTTGCAAGCAAGTCGTGGTGGCCACGGAAAAACGCGCGCGCGACTTGTCTGCCAGCCCCTGCACGCAGCACGGAAATCGCCGCGTTGGTTTGGGTGAGGCTGCGCGGCCGTGCGGCAGCCGATCGGGTCGAATTCAACGCGCGCGCGCCGCGCGTCATCCGTCGGGCGCGGCGCGGGGTGCGCGATGGTGGCGGCCCCGACGTTGTGCAACAATGGGGATGCCCTGTTGTGCCTGCGTTGATGCCAGGCTTCCTTCTGGCATTGTCACTGGCGATGGCAGCTTCGGGTTTCTAGGTGGGAATGCGCGGGTTTCGCGCCGCGCAATCGAACGGGCATGCGATTTGCGCGCGGAGGTGCGACTTATGCGCCACGTACAATGGAGTCGGCGGCCCGACGCGTTGGACGCATGCTTTCGCGCAGAGGAGTGGCCGACGCAACCTCGAACGCAACGGCTGCCTCGCAAGCGCCAGTCGGTATGGTTCAGCACAGCGCGCGCGCTCGCGTAGTGCAGCTTCTATACTGCACGCAGGGGGTGCCTGCCAGCTCCGCGGGCAACCGCCATATCGCTGCTGGTTGTGACCGAACAGGTTTCCGAGGCAACCCGCGGTCCTTTTACAGCGCGGCGGTTGGTTCAGAACGCCGCGCGCGCCCGCGCTCGCCGCATGGTTTACGCCGCTGCAAAATTAGCGAAGCCGCGGTGCCAGCCAGAATCCTGATGTGAATATCTAGCGCTGGCAGATTGGACTGCAATGTTCAGGTGCCAGCGCTGCGTTTCAATCAGCTGCGTCAGCGCGCGGGCCGCGACGCGCGCGAAGGCTCTCGCGCGTCTCGCGTCGGGGAAGCCATCATTTCGACCAGCGGTTCCGCGCGCGCCCTCGGCGTTGTTCCATTTAGCAGATGGCGCGGCATTAGGCTGTCACATGTCAATTAGCAAGGGTCTGCGCACGACGTGCGCGCACGTGACCGCGCGTGGCGCTTCTTTCTAGCATCGGAAGCAAGGTCGCTTGCTTGCTGGTTTGAAAAGTCATGATGCGGGCCCTTCGCGTATGCCGAATCGCGAAGGCAACTGGCTTGGTCGGCGCGCGCATCAAGTGGGTTAGCGCGCGACGCACGCACGAGTGCACATTGCGATCGCCGCGGCGCACGCGGCGCAGAAGCCGCTCGCTGGCAATTACGCGACAAGGGCACTTGCGATGGCACCCATTGAATCGAAGAGCAAGCTGCTGACAGGCGCCGAACCACTGTAGTTCCATGTGCTCAGGTAGCATGCGAGGTGCGCGCGCGCGTGGTTGTCACCAGCGAAAAGCAAGAACAGCAGCGTTGCTGGGCTGAGGCTTAAACTTGTCGCTGTGCTGTGGCCGATTGGTTTTCGGACTTAACATGGGCTTGTCACGTGTCAAGCAGCGTGGGGGCGCTTGGCGTGCGTTCGCGCTCGCGCGTTTGGCGTTGCGTTGCGTACGCTAAGTCAGAACAATCATGCTGGAGTGGGCTCATCCGTAGCCCCCAGCGGTTGCCAGCTTTATAGTTAAAGCGTGCTCACCGAGCGCCG